TAGCACTACAATTAAAAACATTAAGTTCTGAATAAAAAACTACTGACTCGACTCTTCATTACACCCGATGCTACAGACAGTGCTCCAGTAACCGCTTGACTTCGTAACCGAAAGCAAACCGGAAATGAACGGCTGATAGAGAATGAATGAATGGAAATCAATGAATGTTGGTGGCCACTGTAATGCGCAAAAATCACAAACGGTTTCAATGAAACCTTAATTCGAATTACAATAAAATTTGTGATTTCTCTGCATGTATTATTCAGAAAAAGTTAACTACATCGAAGTCCAGATAATCCTATGATCCAGTAGATCCACTAACGAGTGTTTCGTTTTTACAACCAAAGAAAGGCGCTACCCGGAAAATACTCAACTGCACTGGCGGATCCAGGAGGCGGGGGAGGGCATGGGCCAAGCTCCCCTCCCCCCAAAGCCTGGAAGAGGGCAAACATATCTTTTGTCCCCCCCCCCCTAAACGCTTCAAGAAAAAATGAATGTGAGAAGGTAGCGTAGTAGATAGCTACCTACCGGCATCAGCAGCTTGATTCAAATTTCAATAGCGTAGAGAAACTACCGTACTTATGCTCACTATCTTCAAAAGTCTGTCACTGGCGGATCCAGCCGTTTTCAAAGGGAGGGCTCAAAGTAGAAGTGTCCTTTTTGGGGGTCCAGGTAACCTACCCCGCCCCGCAACTCTTCTCCAGATTCCAACAACTACCCGCATGGGGAACTTCAGGGGGAGCAGCCCGCAACAGCCCGCATAGCAGCCAAAAAGCTTTTCCACTTTCTAGCCATATTTGTCTAGGACATTTTACTGCATATGTGATGTACCTATTCTAGGCCATGCTCAGCATATTCATTTTCCATTTTAAAGGGGAATTTTGTTTTGTTTTAGTTAAGAAGTTTCTGGTATTTTTGCTACCCACATAAAAACCACCACAAGATATTTCCTGGTGATGCAATGCAACCCGCTTAAGTCCATGCAGGTTTTGTCTACCCGCTCCTTCATAGGCGGTGGAACGGGGAGGGCACCGGGGCACCGTGTCCCCTTGATTTGGGCATTTTAACATTAGCCCTATGGGCGTTGCATGGAAAGAATGGGACCAAAAGTCGGCAGTGCCCCCCTTAATTGAAGGCGTTCCGCTGCTACTGAGCTCATTGCGGGCTGCCGGGTCGAAAAAGGGCACCTCTAGCTCAAAGCAGGCCAAGAGGTCAGCTCTCCGAAGGTCATCAATAGTTAAAATCCCTCTTTTGAAATAATGGGACTAATTGGGATCGAAAATGAGGATTTCTTCACTTAAAGCTTGCATGCATGTCGTCACCTTTTGTGCCTTGCGGTCCAGTGAAAATTCTAAAGGGGTGAGTTCGATTTGGAAGAGGGCCAAAACATGGTTTGGCAGCCCCTAGCCCTGACTTTGGCCCGATACCCTCCCCCCTGGATCCGCCAGTGGTCTGTGAGGTTGATAAAAGCGTTGTCAGGTCTTGTCTTCACCCAAGAAGGTCTTATTAGTGCATGCCTATCGATTGATGTGTTAAGTTAACCCTCGCCCGTCTAGGGAGGGGGGGGGGGGGTCGGACGGACCCCCTCGTTTTTCAAGAATAACGCGCGTAAAATGCGGTCCATCAGGACAAACTTTCAGTACCCTCGAGTTTATTAATTTTACACCTACCCTGAAAATTTCATGACCCTGACCCAAATGACCCTTGACCTGTGAACTACTTTTCGAGACCATGTTTGGCCGGAATCGCGTTTCGGCGTATGTCGGCTCGGATTAGCCGCGCGTTTGCAGTCTTTTCTTGATTTTAAGCGTTCAAAACTTCAAACAGGTGATACGATGTTGCTCCCATGCATTAGGCCGTCAGGTCAGGTCATTGACCTTTGGTAACCTCGGTTCACTTTTTCGAGTTTTACATGTTTCTAGGCTAGTTTTTTTTTGGAGCTGAATTCGAATTTAGCAACCATTTGAACATTTACGAAGTAGTTTTGGTGCCTTCGTAACATGTTACGAATGTCAGAGGCGGATGACAGGTACTACGAATACCCGTCACGACCCCTACCGGTTGACCTGACCTGACCTGGTCTAAACGCTTAACGACATCACCTGTGATCGAAACTAACACGATATTCGTGATCAGCACCCCGGAAGACCCCTTAGCAGCCACACTTTACGACTTTCTAACAGGTCCCGATTTTCCCGATTTTTGGGTCATTGACCTGACCTGGAAGGTCAACCGATGACCTAGGACCTTAAAATTGGGTATCATTGGCTTCCTGTCGTGACGGGCAACACGCTCTTTTTTCCGCGAAGCTCTAGCTCGATCAGGGGCCAAACGCGAGGGTCGTACCAACGTTTTGCGCATTGTAAATAAATGCAAGGAAGCTACCTTCTAACAGGCTAATAATAGGAAAGCGGCATTTTCCATGTGTATCACTTCATTGTTCGTTTTTGCCTTAAGGTTGTTCGTTGTCACATACAGTTGGGTAACATCGTCTCTTTCGTCTCTGCATAGGGCTATCGTGACCGGCCGTGGCGGCGCGACTACAGCCGCTCACGGAGTCGCAGCAGCAGCCGCGCCCGCAATGATAGTCCCAGGCGGACACCGGAGCGGGCGCGCGGCCGGCGGGACCAGTCGGGGGCGCCGCGGATGTACGTTGAAACAAGGGTGGCCTTGTTTGGGAACAGCCACGTTGCCGCGCGAGCGTTCCCCCTGGGCCGCGACTTGGAGCTCGGGGCTACGCTCGGGCGGCACACCGTCGTCATGCAGTATGAGCGGGGATACACCGCCGGCGGCATGGGCGGCGACTCCGCCGCCGTCCGGCTGAAGACAGCGAGTGTCTGGCCCGCCTACGCCGTCGTCAGCGTTGGCGGGCCGGCGCTGCTCCCGAGGCCGGACGAGCAGGCCAGGCGTCGGCGTCGCCAGGAGGATCGGGATCCGTCTCCGGTGCCTCCGTACCGTAACGCCCCGACCGCCGCCGCCACCGTCATCGGCAGCACGGAGACATTCGTCAGGGCGCTACAACTTCAGATCCCGGGCATCCGCCCGGTGATCGAAAGTGTGGTCCCCCTGGAGGACGCGTCGAGGGCGGGCCTCATGGCCTGCCGCGAACTGTCGGAGTCCCTCCGACTGGTCGCTAAAAACAACGGGGCCCTGTTCCTCGATATAGAGGTGATTGTGCGGCGCCACCTGGCGGGTGGCCCTGCCGGCGGCACTCAGCGCCCGGGCGAACGCCCTCGGCCGGTGAGGTGGCGGCGCAGCCGGCGGAGTCGGCCGCGGGTCCAGCCGCTCCACCGATGGAGGTGGAGGTCGGTGGCGGCGGCGGCGGACCAGATGCCTCTGCGGCCATACGCGCCGCTAAGGACAGTCTCGCTGCCGCCGAGGCGGCTCACAGCTCTGCCACAGTGGCGGCCACTTCAGCAGAAGAGGTGGCGGAAGCGCTTTTATATGCTTCGGAAAACACGACGGCAGCCCGGGTCGTGCGCGTGGCAGGGGACGCCGCGGACGTTACCAGGGCTACCGGGAAGGCGGTAAAGGCCGCGGCCGTCGCCGTCTCCGCCGCTACAACTGCCGCTGCCGCTGCCGCCGCCGCCGCCACCGCCACCGCTGCTGCTGTGCTGTTGCCGCCGCCGCCGCTGCCCCTACGGTGAACGAACCGTGGGTGTCGGGCTGGGTCCCGGGTCGTCCCTCTCCCGTGTTCGAGTCGGCACCTTCACGGCATACGACAGTGACGGGATACACCTGACCGCGGCGTGCTACGCAGCGGTCAGGCATGAACTCTGGGGAATCGTTGTGGCTGACTTCAAGGCACAGTGATTCTCCAGCCCCCCCCCCCAAAGGGCCTCTATGAGTTTCAGGTGTGCACATGTCAGGCTGAATACAGCACGGATGTGTTTTTACATGCGTTCCATACCTTTTCTATATGATGACTTGATTTTATGATTTTGTGTTATGCGATTCGTGGCACCACATTGTTGTGGCTCGCCTGCCGCGGTTGCCGATCGGCCGCCACGCGCCGGCCCGGTGGACCTGCTTAGTTCAATGATCAGCTGATCGTAGTTCGTTGGCCAGCCGCCAGAGGCGCTGATTGTGCTTCTCGTGACGGGTGCAGTTATTTTTTTACATCTTAGTTTTTGTCGCCGCGTTTTTAGACGTTTTTCGGCGCACTGCTGTTGAAATTATACAGGCCTATTTTACAGCTATTTTTGATTCACAAAACTGCTGCAATTTTTGAAACTTTTTTTTCTGCATATTGACATTTTGATGGAATTGGAATGCATTATAAGATGTTTATTCTTAAATCTTGAATGCCAATATAATAACAATGTGAATCGAGCCACGCTCGTAGCGAAATATTACGAATCAATGATAATAACAGTAACCGGCAGAAAATATGTAGTTACCGCGATTGTATAAGATAATACTATATATTCCGCCTGAAATTGACAGCAGATACCACGAGAATAATAGCCTATACAAATATTGAAATAACTGAAAGCTCATAATACCCACTTAGGACTGCTAACGCTGACCATTTTCTTCGAACATTAAATGCTTACCATACCATAACATCTGAAGAAAATGAACTTGAACCTCGAAAAGCGAGTGTTTAGTTGTCGTTTATCGGTTCGAAGTGAAAGAGCTTATGAATATCAACGCGATTTATTTTAGACAGGTGCGAATGGGCCGAGAGAGAGATCGAAACGTAAACAAGTATGGCGAGCGCCAGCCCACGTCCCATGCGCCAGTCACGCCGCTTGGCGCGCACGGTCAGCTGGCGCCGGCAGGGGCGCTCACAGGCACCTGGCCCAGTGGGGTCGCAGAGGCGGTCCAAGTAGGGGGCCTCGGGGCGGCCTATACACAAACACAACATCTCCCCCTCGAGACAACAGTCGTGAAACCGCCAAAACACAACACTGCACGACGTTGTCTCACTCCTCATACGAGGTCGCACCCCAACAAACGAACAGACGATCGGGGCTGGCACACACGACTGCTGCGACTCATGGCGGCGGGCGCTTGTTCCGGCGTCCGCAGCGGGCGCGCCCGTTGTCGCCCGGGAGGTCACCGGTAGGCGGCGCTCCGGTGTCGGGTGGCGGCCACGGATCACAGCCAGCGGCGTCTCCGGCCCTCCCCTGAACCGGGTCCACGAGCGGCGCCAGACACGCGTCATCCTCAGCACAGTCGGTCTGTCCCATGTCCGACTGCAGCGGCGACACGGCGTCACTGACGACCTCTTCTCTGTCCCTGCTTTGCGTCGGCGGGCCTCCCACCAGCGGCGGCGAGGCTCCGTAGGCGTCATCAGTCTCACCGGGTACGGTGGGCTGTGTCACGGAACAGTCGGTTTGGCCGGTGTCCACCGGCGGCGGTGACACGGCGGGGCCGGCAGCTGCACCTGGGGCCGTGCTCAGCGTTTGTAGGCCTCCCGCCGGCGGCAGCGAGGCCCCGTGGGTGTCGGCTGGCCCGCTAGACTGCCCTGCGGTGGACTCAATCTGGCCGGTGTCCGCCGGCGGCGACGACACGGCGGGGCCGGCCGCTGTACCTTGGCCCGTGCTCGGCGTTGGGATGCCTCCCACCGGCGGCGGCGAGGCTCCGTAGGCTTCAGCGGCTCCGGCCGGGCCTGCGGGCTGCGCCGCAGTACCCCCGGGTTGGTTCGTGTCCGCCGGCGGCGGCAACACGGCGTCACCAGCGGTTTTGTTTCCGTCGCCGGTCCGCGTTTGTAGACCTCCCGCTGTAGGCTGCGCTGCGGTACAACCAGCTCGGTCCGTGTCCGCCTGCGGCGGTGACACGGCGTTATCAGGGGCTGCCTCTCGGTCCGTGGTCTGCGCCGGCCAGCCTCCCGCCGGCGGCGGGCAGGCTCCGCGCGCGCCAGCCGGCTCGGTGGGCTGCGCCGCGGCACGCCCGGCTCCTCGGCCCGTGTCTGCCGGCGGCAACGACACGGCGGCGCCGGTGGCTACCGATGGGCCTCCCGCCGGCGGCGGCGAGGCTCGGTACACTCGGTCCGTGCTCCAAGTTGGGATGCCTCCGGCCGGCGGCGGTGAGGCTCCGTAGGATGCGGTAGCTCCGACCGGCTCAGTCGGCTGCGCTGCAGTACTGCCGGTGCGGCCCGTGTCCGCCTGCGGCGATGACACGGCTTTGTCAGGGGCTGCCTCGACGTCCATGGTCTGCGCTGGCCAGCCTCCCGCCGGCGGCGGGCAGGCTCCGTGGACGTCAGCAGCGTCACTCAGCTCGGCGGGCTGAAGCGCAGTGTGCCCGGCTTGGCCCGTGTCCGCCGGCGGCGGCAACACGGCGGTGCCGGCGGCTACCGTTACTGGCGCCACCACCGGTGAGTCGCGTACTTTCGTCGCTGCAGATGTCGCCACTGGACGATCAGCCCTCTGGTGGCACACAATCTCAAAATGCCCCGGTTCGCCACACGCACGACAGATGGCGCCAGCGGCGCGACACGTGTCTCCGCCGGCGTGCTGGCGACGGCCACAGGCAGGGCAACGATCAAGAAACTGATGATCTGTGGCGGTGGCGGAATGGGCGACACTCGGCCGCCTGCGCCTCTTGTAGGCCGGCAGGCGCGCCGCGGAATGTCCCTCGTTGCCGCGGAGGTCTGGGCACGTGACACGGGCACCATCGCTCGCCCGACAAACGTTCACGGCGTATTTGAGCGTCAGCTCAAAGTCCTCCAGCCTGCGGCTCACCGCTCCTAAATCACTGTCGTGAACACTGCACTCGGCACGGTCGTGGCACGTCGATGCCGACTTCGGTTGCGCGGTCGGGGTCGCCGACACCGGCAGGCAGACAGTCCGGCGGGCGGCGGCAGCTGGTCCAACGGATCCATCAGCGCCTCGCTCAGCCCCCGACTCTGACACTCCGGTCGTCGCGTCCGTCCCCGCGGAGGGCTCCCTGGTTAGAAGCCTCTCCAAGCGCTCCAGGCGCTTGTCGGCGTCGGCGGCTCTCTTCACTTGCCTCTCCAGCAGTGCCGTCAGTTCTTGAATGATAGTCATCGCGGTATGCTCAATCACGTATTAATTTACAAAACCGACCGCGCCATGTTTAGTTGTCGTTTATCGGTTCGAAGTGAAAGAGCTTATGAATATCAACGCGATTTATTTTAGACAGGTGCGAATGGGCCGAGAGAGAGATCGAAACGTAAACAAGTATGGCGAGCGCCAGCCCACGTCCCATGCGCCAGTCACGCCGCTTGGCGCGCACGGTCAGCTGGCGCCGGCAGGGGCGCTCACAGGCACCTGGCCCAGTGGGGTCGCAGAGGCGGTCCAAGTAGGGGGCCTCGGGGCGGCCTATACACAAACACAACAGCGAGTTGTCCAGTTTCAGTCTCAGTTTGTGCGGTACTGGGATACATTCATTATCAGTGAATCAAATAAAAATTGTCCGGGGCATCATGCTGTGATTATATGAACCCGTTAATATGTATAAAATCTAGTTATTGGCCAAACGTAACGGCCACGGACCGTAGGTTTACGACCCCGAAATTTAGCGAAATGAAGTACAAGTTCAAGCAGTTTCAATAATGCTGGTGCGTGGAGTTGAATAGTGATGTAAACGTGGCCACAGTCTACAAACACGATAACAAAGATCGATTGCGCTTCGCTCAACCAGAGCCATGCTCGTTCTTGCTCATGAAACAGTGCATCCCCATTAAATGAAAAGTCTGAACGAATGCATTCAGGTTCCTACCTCTGAATCACCTTATATTGAGATCCGTTTCTTAACAAGAACACAAACGCAGCCCATCAATTTGTCAGTACTAAGGCAACAGCGTCTGACAAGTGACAACGCATCAAATGGCCAACTTCTGACACTATCTACCAATAAGGTTACGGCAATAAAATTGCATTGCAAAATGCAAATAATATTGCACCATTTCCAAGCGCAGCTTGAAACCTAGTGCGACCAGCTAGTGTCATTTTCACAACCAAGTGCAACCAGTTAGTGTCTCGAGACACATTCCAACTGCATAGATACCGCAGTAACCCATTAGGGGCGAAAGGAAACACATGATTTGTGTACGACCAGCGTTCTGTCAGCGTACGACGCATAAAGCAAACTGCTAAAAAAAAACTGCGATCCCGAACAACACAACACAGAGCTCAGAAACGAATGGTTTACAAAAGTCTACGACTGACGACATCGAAACAGTACGTTCATCGGGACTATTCACATGACACGCTCAACCCAGCTGGGTTATGGGTACTAATTGCGCTTCAAATTGACCTCTGGCTCTGACAGCCATTTACTTACGCTAGTTTGATGCATAAAACTGTACATTGAAACTCAAGCGGCAGCACATAGGTCTCCATCAAGGTGGTTATATACAACAGAGCACCTCGCTAAAACGAGCGCGAGCCGCACTGTCACACTGACAGTTAACACTGAGCCGCGAGTCGTGACAGTCGCACTGCGTCATATGCACGCAGATGTCGCACTCACGGCACCGTTGCTGGCACTGCACTGCGGGTGGACACGCGCGGTGCAGTAGCTCCACGGTGTGCGTCTCACCGGAGGGATTACCAGTCTCCGACCGGACAGTCTAGGCGGGAAGTGCGGTGTCTTCAATCATGACCGCCGTCCCCGTCTCCGCGGAGTGCCGCACGGCGGCGACGCGGCGGCGTCGGATCTTGAGCTGGTGGACACTGGACTCCTGCCACAGCTGCCAGCTTCAGCCCTTCAGCATCGTGTCATCAGCAAACTCCAGCAGAGCCCCAATGCAACTGGGAAAATAAAATTTATGCTGTTAAGCCAAATCAACCAAAACATTTCCTTGCAGAGGATTCTCTTTGGCAGTTCAGCAAGATCTGTGATATCCATGGCCGTGACCGTGACTTGTGAGGTGAATTATGAGGTGAAAGTTACTAAGAAGCAGTTTTTTTTTAGAAAACAGCTTCAATCCATGTTTGCCTGATTCTAATCTCAAGGCAACATCTCATAGTTTTGACAGCATGAAATTTCATATGAAACCATATTGAGGTTACAATTTCCATAATCTTGTCACAAACAGTGCACTTTAATATGGCTAACACCAAATCATCCAACCTTGTATCTTTATCTGGTGAAACTCAAGGAACCAATAAAGCAAACATTTTCTGAGTAAAACATTTAGGCATTTGACAAGCTCGACTACTGCCATGCAACCTAATGCTCGTTGATTTGTTTCGCCTCAATTTTTGGAGATCCTCTTTTCTTACCTTTCTTTGGTCCATCCGACAATTCCCCACTCGCTGATCCAGCACCGGATTTTACCTCTTTTTGCTTTTTATCACCGTTTCCACCATTTTCGTCTTTTTGAGACAAACTCGCCGCATCTTTTGAAGCGTCCTCGTTGCTCTTAGAGGTCACTCTTGTTCTTCCCATTTCGATTGGTATCTGGCCTTTTTTGTTCAGTTTTCTTTTCCAGCACCTTCTTTAAATTGGCATTTCACCGTTCCACTTTGTTTATGTGCGATAATTCGATCAAAGACACTCTGAGGCCTTCCTCCGCACTATTTCTTCCAGCTGTGACCTTGGCCTTGACCGCTAACACAATCCGCTGCGAAATGTGGTTTCACCCAAAATGCCAAAATATCTCAGATGATGCTTTTTGGGCACTTGATGAGTATGACCTCTGCTTTTTGTGCTGCAAATGTCGCCCCAAGGTCAAAGATTTGGGGAAGGCAGAAACCATCAACAGCAACAAAATTGAGGAGATGGAGAAAAACATCCTTCAGGCAATCAATGATAAGAATGTTGATATAGAAGTGGAAACAAAGCTAGACCAAAGACTAGATCTCTTAGAACAAAAAATGAAAGAACAAATGAAGACTCATCACGTCGAACTAGAAAACTTATCTCGAGAGCTCAAAGGGCAGATAGACTCTGTCAAAGCAATGCCAAAGTATACGGAGGAAATTAAGAGCAGTGCCCAGGAACTGAGAAACTACATGAAGGCACATGACGAAAAAACAGTGAGAGAGAGAAACATACTACTCCATAATATACCTGAGAGCAAATCAAGCAATCCTGAGTTGAGAAAGCAGTACGACCAAGACAGCTTCCATAATGTAGTTGCGGCGCTCCTAGGAGAGGGGATGATCATTGAGGTGGAAAATGTGATCAGACTGGGAAGAAGGAATGAAGACAACAAAACCATGGAAGATCAAAAACCTCGACTGATGTTGGTCAAACTCAGAGACCAGAGAGATGTTGAACAGCTCATGAAGAACAGATGGAGCCTCAAGGACAGAGGTTTTCCAAATATATACCTTACCAGAGATTTGCCACCAGAAGAACGAGAAGCTCGGAGGAAACTCAGGCAGGAATTGGCTGAAAAGGGAAAGGAAACCCACATGATATTTCGGGGCAAGGTGGTCCCCAGACAAGGGAGAGATTCTCCAGGAGAACAACAAAACAGGCAAGTCAACCACAGGGCCTCATAAAAGGGATTACGTGATTGGGAAAAGTCATTTAAATTGTATGTACACCAACGCAAACAGTTTGAGAAACAAACATGAAGAATTACTCAGTAGAATTCAAATCAGTACGCCAGATGTTATAGGCATAACTGAGACATGGACCAAAGATGACTTCTTGTTGCATGGTTATCACCCTGCATTAAGGAAGGACAGAGCTGAGGGTCAGGAAGGTGGAGGGGTCATGCTTTTCGTTCGAGACAACATAAGGCTGACAGAATGTTTTGAACTAAACGGTTCCATGTTCGGTGAATCCGTTTGGGGTATTGTAAGACCAAGCCTATCAGTCAAAATACTTATAGGGATATGCTACAGGAGCCCTTCAAGTTCACCCGAGAACAATGACTTGTTATTGGAACTTTTCAAGCAAATTGATCAAATAAATGCAAATTGTGTGCTTATCATGGGAGACTTTAACTATGGCCAAATAAATTGGAAAGGCGGGACCTCCCGAGGGCCATTGGACGGCCATGCAACCAGGTTCTTTGATGTCGCACAAGACATATTTTTACACCAGCATGTAGACTTCCCCACAAGATTTCGGGAAGGCTGTGTACCATCACAGCTTGACCTCGTCTTCAGTGACAATGATATGGCAGTAGACGAGCTAGTCAGTGAGAGTCCACTGGGGAAAAGTGACCATGTGGTTTTAACATGGAAGTATTTCTACACAGACACAGCAAATGGTACTCACAGAAAAAAGTCAACTCTGGGCATCCAGAGGAACTTCAGCAAAGGAAACTACCAGCAAATGAATCATGATCTAAACAATGTGAACTGGGCTGAGATTGAGACCCTAGGGGTTGAAGCTTGGAGGCTGTTCAAAGCTCAGATTCAAACAGAAGTTGCCAAGCATGTCCCATTAAGAGGCAAAAGAAGCATGAAACTAGAAAAAGCACCTTGGTGGTCACCAAAGTTGAAGAAGGAGGTCAAGAGGAAGCATGCATGCTGGAAGCACTACACCGAGGTGAAAACTGCGGAGGCTTTGGAAGAGTACAAGACTCAAAGAAACCGCACCTCAAAGATGCTGAGGAAAGTCAGGAGAGACTATGAAAAAAGCATCATTGCAAAATCAAAACAAGAACCAAAGAACCTCCACAGATACATTCGAGCTCAGCACAAAGCGAAGGTCACAGTGGGTCCTCTTGAAAAGCATGATGGGTCTCTGGCACAAAATGATAATGAAATGGCTCAAATTCTCCAAGATTTTTTACAAAGTGTCTTTGTAGATGAAGACAAGACGAAAATCCCGAACCCAACACCAAGAGTGGAGGATGAGAGGAAATGGCTCAAATTCTCCAAGATTTTTTTTTCAAAGTGTCTTTGTAGATGAAGACAAGACGAAAATCCCGAACCCAACACCAAGAGTGGAGGATGAGAGGAACTTTATGAACGATGTGACAATCACTCCAGACAAACTACGGAGCGTAAATTAAGCCGTTTCACAAAGCCAAAACTGGAATTGTTTACACCTCCGTAATAAGCACATTTGCGTAGTTACCGTATTTTATCAAGTGTCCTACAAATTACAATTTCAT